ACTTCCCAGCACCAAGCTGCACTGTACATCCAATACAATATGTATACAGAGAGCACATTGTGAGTGTCCTTTCTCCATCCCATCCTGGGTGTGAACCAATATCACGAAACCCCACAAATGGTGACCCCGGAGATTCGCACTCACACAGGATGGAGGAGAAACCGATCACTCTCCTAGTCTTCAAGCAACATGGAAGACTGGCTTATCCACACAGAGGCAGCTCTCATCGGCTCTACAGCTAGTGACTCTACACCGCAGGTTAGACACCCTAGAGCAGAACTGCTTCTCTAAGCAGACACCAGCTCCTCTTCCTGCCCCAAGCACCACGTCCTACTGTAACGGGCCGAGTTTTGTCTTTTCAATAATTTACCATCCAGCTATTCTTTTCTGTTAGTATTCTATTTATTCATATACAGTACTTATATGTTCTGTGTAGCACTCCTTCCAATGAGTACCCTGTTTTATATACTTATCCTTCTTCAATTCTTTACATATATATATACTTATTCTTATATATTCGTGTTTATATTCTCATATGTTCTTTATCTCTATATACCTTATATTCTTATATATTCTTATATAAGTAACTATTATGCTTCTCTGCTTATGTTTTCCAAGTCAATGTTCTTTCTTTTCATTTCCTCTCATATATATTGTATTCTCAGTTTCAATGTTCTTACCTTTCTGAAGAATACTTTGTTTTAAGTCTATTCTTATACATGGGTTAGTCTGGGGAACCATGTTATTCTTTGTACAACACTTTTTATACTTACAAAGGGTAGCTGCCACCACCCAGACTTTTCATTATATAACATAACTCATGGAAAGTTGTTGGGTAGTGTGGTAGATGTCTAGGCACGTGAGTAAGTATTATTTTCTGGGAACCAATGTTTAGAAGGAGTAGAGTGGTGATACTCAGATTACTAATTCAATATTTATTAACACAGTGAGTGGAGAAGATGCATCTTAGATTTACTCAGGCTAAACAGAACCGAAATTAACTTATTAAGTCATCAAACACTTCAAGAACTTATTACCTCATTAAATACCTCCAAATACTTATTACTTCATTAGACAATTGTGGTATTATTCCTCTGACAAATGAGATTCAGTAATTATACACAAGATATCACTGGACCCTCAGGTCTTACTTTTACAACTCACAAATTACATCTTCAATTCTTGGTTACAACATTTAACAATCAATATATTATTCCATTGTTACTGCAAGTGGATAATATGACACACTTAACATTATCCCAAATCAAATTATAACCTCACGTTCTATCGTCATGAACATGATACTTTTCTTTCAGTTCATGTACTCAACTCACATAACATATTTCCTGGTAATATCCACATTTATGGTTTCACTGCTTAACCTGGGATTTCCATCTGTTAGTTAATCCCTCAATCAAG